TCAAAGGGAAACGGCCCGAACAGGAAAAATAAGTATCAAGAAGAGCCAAAATAATCAGGAGAAGCAAACGTAGCTATTCTGCTGAGGCCCTAGTGATCACAAAATCTAAATCCAGTGAGGAGTGGATCCTTGACTCAGGGTGTTCTTTTCACATGTGTCCTCACAAAGACTGGTTCGAGACACTGCAATAGGAAAATGATGGGTCTGTTATACTGGGAGACAATAAAGCTCACAGGGTTGTTGGAAGTGGATCAATCAGGATAAGGATGTTTGATGAAGTTGAACGAGTACTGAAAAATGCCAGGTACGTACCAGAGCTAAAAAGAAATCTGATTTCTTAAGGTACGCTGAAGTCAAGCAAGCTAAAAAGAAATCTGATTTCTTTAGGTACGCTGTAGTCAAGCGGATGCTCATTCAAGGCAGAGAATGACTGCATCAGAGTAACCAAAGGCCCTCGTGTCGTCATACAAGGAGTCGGGAAAAAGGAGTTGTACTCTCTTATCGGAAGAACCGTGATTGCTAAATCCATGTACTGTTTGGACCTAGCAGACTCAAGTAAGGGCTGAGGGCCTCTCAGGGGCCAGGTGGAGGGAATCTTTACTTCAAAGCTTCTCAATTGAGGGTCAAGGTGGAGAATTATTATTTTGACCCCCAATTAATGAACTAAAATAAAAGGGCACTTTTGTAATGTGGTACCGCTCACCTACCACATCTCATCTACCGTTCACCTATCGTTCACCTACCTCTCACCTACCGCTCACCTACCTCCCACCTACCACTCTCTTGCTTCTATAAATAGAGAGGGTGTGAGGCTCAGGAGAGCAAGGGAAGAAATCTTAAGGGTGTGAGGCTTATGAGAAAAAGGGAAGAAATCTTAAGGGTGTGAGACCTAGGAGAGAAAAGGAGAAGATTTCCTAAGCTACCACAAAGGAGGAGAGAATAGCTATAGAGTTAGAGAGGAGGAGAGCATCTTGAGGCATTGTATCAAGGTGTCGCTTGAGAGGGAGGCCATAGAAGGAAGATGAGGGCTCATCTCTATGTATAAGCTATGTATTCTCTATTTCTTTTGCCTTAATGAAATATTTGATTGATTCCCTCCCGTGGACGTAGATCCAGTTGGATCGAACCACGTAATCTGTGTTTGCTTGTGTTCTTTTTCGTCTCATTTCTATGCCAAGAAGTACATATCTCACAACACCTAGGTTGACCAAACACAAGACATGGTCGCCGCCAGTCAATCGTCTCAATCGACTGTATTCTAGCAAAATCAATCAACTAATTACCGTAATATCAAAATTTAAATTGTAATGCAGAAATGACACGATGATACAATTTATTAAAACATTAATTTTATTAAGAACGGTTTCCACAATTGTTCCCTCATCTGTTTAATTATACAAAATATGCCTATCTAAATAGGAGCAAAAAATACGAATAAATGAGACTCTCCCCTAGTCCTCTTCACTGTAACTCTTGGTTGACTTTATTCACTCATTCACTCAACTTCCACTCTCAAGACGTGTTCGCAAAAGGCAATCCAGGATAGCATGTACAAATAACAAAATATTTTCATTAACAATCATTCTATTTTGTTTTAGTGTGGAGATAATCAATCCGCAAAGCAAATCACTAAAAACGCACAACATTTTCTGATACTAAAAGACATACATTTACAAGATTCATCAAATTCAGAAATCAAGAAATCCTCCTATTGAGTCCTTTAAAATCCATCGTATCGACGCACTCAAATTTCTCACTGACTGAACTCATCAACTTAATCATCTCTGTCGCCTTCTCCTTCGTCGTTTCACTGCACCCAACCTGCAGAAGCAGCAACATCTTCTGCAGCAACCCCACCTGCAAGCACTCCACCAAACAATTACTCCTCCTACAGTTCCTGCAAACTTTCCACAACACAGAAACCACAAATTCTGTTGCCGTTTCTGAAACTCGAAACATCTTCTTCGCAAGCACCGGCACCGTGAGAGCATGCTCGCACGCCTTCTCTCTCCCAAACTCAAATCTGCACAGTGCGTCCAGAATTATGAGCACCTTCTCAGTCATGTTCTTGTCTGAATCCACAAGAATTTCTAAAAGTGAATGAACGATGCCCAAATTGACGCATTTTTTGGACATTGTTTCGTCGTTGGAGATGAGGTAGAATGTCACCGCTAGAGAAACCTTAGTCAAATGTGTCGAAATGGGCACTCTGATGAACTCCGTCAATCCTTCGATAAGGCCATTCTGCTTCGCTAATGACTTCGCAAGGTCTTTGCTTGTAGACGCCATCTTCTTCAACATTGTGACGGAACTAAGTCTGCAGCTAATATCGCCATTCTTCATTATCTGGATTATTGAATTCAGCGACTCTGAAGAACTCAACTCTTTCATTATATTGTCATCTTCGAAAGGAAGCAGGCCCGCTAACGCTGTTAAGGTTTCTCGTAAAACTACAGGGGATTTAGAATTACCGAATCTGAATGCGGAAGCCAATACGGCAGGCGCACCAACTGATAAAAAACAGCGTCGATTTCGCTCGCTCTCTTTTATCAAAGATCTCACTTTTGTGATTAGTTCGAGGTGGTGTTCTTTGTCTTGAAGCTTGGTGGCTGAGGAGAAATCTGATAGGAGATCAAAGGCCTCAAGTTGGGTTATGGGAATCCGAGGGGTTGGAATTCGATCAACTCCATGAGACCTATTCGAAGCACACCAATCCTGAATCAACCTGCGAATGGTGTGATTGGGGATGAGGCCATGGGAATTGAGAGCCATGTTTGTTACAGGACAAGTGGAGTTCCCCGTTTCAAGCCATCTCTCAATGTTCTCTCGGTCATAGGTGATGCCTGTCGGCGCCGTCACTGGATCTTTCATCAGATCGAGCGAAATCGGGCATCGAAAGTGACCGGGGAAGGTGAGCTCGGAGACGATGGGAGGAGTGGTGGCAGATTTGAAGAGTTTGCTCCAAGATGGTCTCTTCTTCCTTGAGAAAGCCATGGATGGAGCTTCGATTGCTTCTAATGGAGCTGAATTTTGGAGAAAGGGGAAACGGGAGAAAGGAATGAATGGTTCAAAGAGGGGTTGCGGATAGCGGTAGAAGGTTATGAAGGAATGGATTGGATTTGAATGCTGACCGTTGAAAGTTTGAATGTGAAAGCGCGGCGAGTAAACTTTAGCGGGCATGGTTGATGGGAGTCGTTAAAAATAGGTTGAACCGGTTGGCTGACCCGGTCGGAGGTGGACCGGATAACTACATATCTTTTATAGTTTTTAAAATGGGATAATTACATATGAAGCATAAGAAATATTGCTATTTTCAAAATAAGTGGCTAGGTGATTTTTTGAACTATTAAATTCATGCATTTACGTTTGTCACGATCAAACTATTGTGAATCAAATAAAAATATAGGTTGAGGTTTTTTCATGACCTATGATATTTGAGTGAGATTTTGAAAAATGAATGACACATAGTGCTTGATTTGTAAGAGCAATGTTATTGGTGACAACTACGATTAGTGTCGTTGATGATGGTAGTCAATAATCATGACAATAAAATTAAATATTAATGTTATGGAAATTTTTGACATGTGACATAATTCTTTGATGTTCAAGGGCATCAATGTTTTTGCCAATGGTTGAAATGAAATCCTCTCATAAGCCTCATTGGGGCCTCTCTTAAAGTGTTAAAGGCTGACCTTTTATAAATTCTAATATGAGGTATTTTGATTATTCCTATTATAAATGAAGGCACTCCATCAAATGATTGTAACTGATTTTCTTTAGTCATTTGAAGTATTTCAGCCATCTAAGTGCCTTAATGATATCATATAAGAGAGTTTTTGATTCGCATTAAGCTCATTTCAACTATAACGGATCAATTTTGAAAAAAAAAGGATCTTTTGCAATGCTGTAAATTCCATAAAAGAAACACTTTTAAGAAATGATAAATTATATTAAGACAGTCATTTGATTAAATTTAGTTAGACAATGAAATTAATTTCAAACATCATAAATCTTTTTAGAACTGATTAAAAATAGGATTTTTTTATGCTTAAATTAAATAAAATAAAATTTTTTATTTAAATATGTATTTTTTTAAATAAAATGATACATATTTAAATAAATAAATTATATATACAATGCAAAAGTATATCCAGGTCCCTTATATTATTCAAAGTAGGACAAATTATTAGGTAGTCATGGGTGAATGGCAATAAAATGAGAGAATAGAGATTTCAAAATGGGGTAAGAAATTGTGATAAAATAAACAATAAAGAATAATTTTTTTGATGGTAGAGCTTTGGTTTTGGCTGGTCGCTAAAGGCGTGAATAAAATAAACAAACTGTTGAGAATGTTGACTTGGAATGTTGAATATGACGCACTTTATTTATTAATATGATAGGTGCTAGAAAATTCACAGTGGTTGAGTAATGAATTATCGTCTTAGAGTTACACGAAGATTCAACACGCACTCAGATGAAAGAGAATCAACCTGTGATGACACCTGAAATTTTTATGTGGAAAATCTGTAAAGGGAAAAAATCGACCCAATTATAAAAATCTACTATAAGTTTATGATTACAAAAACCCATTGTCCCACAAATGAGAAAGGATTACTAGATTTTCCAATATACAACGTCGACTGAAGGCTTTGGTTAGCGGTGGTCGACGACGTTGAGGACGGTAGATGGTGGTCGACGGCGGCCGGCAGTAATCGGCGGAGGTCAGCGGTGGTCGTTGATAGTTGGTGCTGGTCGGCGGTGATTGGCGACAGTCGACGAAGGAAGATGACAGTCGACGGTGGTCGACTGAAGTCAGCGGGGATCGGTGGTGGTCAACGATGACATGCGATGTCAGGGATGATGTTGGACTTAAGCTTATTCTCATAGCCTCAAGTTATCATGTGAGGGGTGAGGCTCTATTTATATTATTTTGGGTGCGGTTAATGCAAGAATATAAACCATTTTGATCGAATGGTCCGGAGAGCTTCATTCGATCATATGACGTTTGATGAACATTTGAGTGCCTAAACGATGTCGGAATTGAGCAATCTTAGGCTCGTTGAATTCTTCTTGTCGAGACGCTCGATTCAACTATGAACTCGCTTTGTTTGACATCCTTTTGATCTTCCAAATGCCTCCAGAAATCCCCCAAGAGTGGCTTAATGATTTGATCTGTGTTTGATCTGACTCAGATTGGACCAGTTTTTATATCATTAGGCCCGTCTCATTGAGCCGGTCAATTTGATTATATGTTTACATAAATCGGAGCTCTAGATGACAATTAATTGAAGTTTGAATGTTTTTGCTTAACATATTATCTCGAGATCTGTGTCATACATCCAGATTCGTGCCGAAATAATGAAAATTTGTTGATGACGTATCAGTTGTTCCCTTATTTTTGGATGAGTCATTTTCATCGTCTGAAAATATTTTACTCTGAAGCCATTTATTCTTGTCATCATACTGTCTTATCTGTATGCATATTATATATATATATATATATA